GTGTGTGTGTGTCGTGTTCTCTAGTCAGCGGAAAGCTGCAGTGACCGCCTCCATCTCCATTCTTAAGCTGCATGTTGTGGTATCATATGCTAGGCTCTCCTGCACCAAACGTCGACCATTAACTTTTGCAAAGAAGCCACAAACACTTCTTTTGCCTCTTAACACTGAACCGTCTGTGTAAATGATCAAATCCTCTGAGCGAGCATTTTCTTGAATTAATTGCTGAATTTCTACCTCCGTGGCACCTGCTGGCCAGTCTCTGCATTCCCGGCTTAGCGTGATTATGACTCTACACAAGTCTGACTGTTCAGGTGGCACTTTGACCCACTCCTCTCCTCGCCTAATGTTCTCAAGGATGCAAACCTGTCTGATTGTTCCTTCTGCCTGAGACATCCATAACCTCCCTCTTATCAGCCGCTGAACCTTAACTGCACCCAGAGCTTCGTATAAAGGGTGGTCTGTGTCTGCAGCTACCCTGAGATATGACTTCGCTTTCAGCACCTTGTGCCTACCTGCAACCGTCGGCAAACCAAGGATGTATCGCATACACACCACAGGGGTGTCTCTGATGCAACCCAAAATGACCCGCATAGCTGCGTTCTGTATGCGCTCTAGTTTGTTCATCGGACTCTTTGAGACGGTAAGCAGTCCCAGACCATAATCAACCACTGACAGGATCAGGTGCTGATAAAGTGTGAAAAGCATTCTCTGCTCTATGTCAATACAGCCATAGTCTGAAGTGCAATAAGTCCTTTTCTCGTAACAACTATCTCCACATGGTCCTTAAATTACAGGCTCCTGTCAAATGTAATTCCTAGATACTTCAGTTTGCTCTCTCTCTGTTGACGTTTCTACCATCTATCGTGAGACTTGGGACATTAGCTTTAACGATTCCATTGTCCAGAGAACACAACAAAACAGACGCCTTTTCAGGGTGGACGACAGCCCTCATTGCTGTACACCACTCAGTCACTTTGTCTACTGTCGCTTGTAGCTCCTGGGCTGTTTGTTCCCTCTCTTCTCCCTGCCTATATGCAAGTTTATCATCCGCAAAAGTCAGTATCCTTCCAACTCCTGGTGCTTCTAGGCTTGCAATCTTGCTCGTATACACGTTGAAGAGCAAATGCGAGATGGCGGATCCCTGTGGCTGTCCTGGAGCCAAAGTGCATGGTTCAGAGGTCCATGAGCCCAGTCGGAGAGCAACCCGACGTGAATACAGGACAGCTGCAACCCAATTCACCAGCCATGTATTAACCTCCTTCTTCTTCAGTGCAGTCATTAAGATGTCGTACCTCACTCTGTTATAAGCATCCTCGAGATCCAGTCCTTTCGCCATAGTTTCCTGTCTGTTCTGGAACCCTTCATAGACGTCAAAATCAAAACTGGCCGCATTTGCCCAAGTGTCCTTTCCTGGCCTGTAACTTCCCAGACCTCTTGGGAGAAGCTTCCCCGTTTCCGAAAATTCTTGTAACTTTACAGCAACTATCTTCTCCAAGACCTTCCCGAATGTGTTTTGGGAGCAAAAAAAAAAAAAAAAAAACTCTGAGAGGATCATGCGTCAAAAAGGATGAATTGGTTCACTGGTTTGGTGTCGTGACTGTACGTTTAGTAGATAGATTGTGTTAGATCGAGATTTTCGTGGGCATCCTTGCTCATATATTCTGAAATTATGCATCTTTGTTAGCTTGAGTGATTAACATTTGGTCTGTTCGAACACGTTCTTGATTATTAGTGCATTGTTGTCTATGAAGCACCCTAATTTTGTATTCATGAAAATAAACATGTTGAATGTGATGATCATATTTTATTTGTTTAATTCAGAATAGGACTTGCAGTTCGTGCACGTGGCCTGACTAGGTGTTGCATTTTTGGTGTTATGTTGTTGTTATTCTTGTTTGATTCGCTATTCACATATTCATCGCCTGGGCTTGAGTAATTTGCAATGATTCCTGCACCAGAAGAATGTGCAGAATGTGTTGACAGGTCGGAAGATTTACGTTGCAATAGGTTTAGCGAGGTGCTGGAGATATATTCTTGCTATTAGGGTAGAGTCTAGGTAGTTTTCGGCTAGGGAAAGATACCTGGTCTACCATCATCGCATTTAAAGTTTAATACGGGTTCCAGAATAGACTGAAGAAGGTAGGGGCTGAAATTGACTTTGAAGTGCCTACAGCAGAGTTAGATATGATAGTAGTAGTAGTAGATTTTTACCCCACTAGGACATCACACAAGCGATAAACACGCAGTGACACAAAGTGCCACCATGTGGGTGAGGATCACCGTGGAGAGGTCCCAGAAACCGCGTTCAGACATTTGACCATATTTATGGTCGGGCAATATTGCGGCCCCTGGCAAGAGCCAGAGTATGGCTTCAAATCACGAAAAATTGCTTCTCACAAGGAGATGACTGTATAATACCGATTTATATATGATATCTTGATGTCCACCCTTGTAGAAAAGAGGGTATCACCCTGACTCGTTCATTAGATATCAGGACAGCTGCTTTGCGATGATTTGACGGGTATTGTGAGCTGACCGTGAAGAAAGCAATAACGAACTACTGAACATAAAATTGCCTTGTTAAAAAAATCCAACAAATGCCTCTAGTTCTGCAACTTCCTATAAAGGAAAGGCAACCAACTTTAAAGAAAGTTCTTATACTTTTGCATTTCGCTTAAAGTCACGCCATTGATTTGAATTGCACATTAAGTCACCACGTAACTAAATAAATAGAATCAAGTGGAACAGCTTTCACCCCAGCCCATTTACACCTACACACACATTTTCTAGAGAATCGTGGTAATAAACGTCTATGGATAGGAATGATACATACTGCGAAAGCCTCCTAATAGTAGTTAAAGTAAAAGTCCCTTAGGCTTATTGGGAATATAGCGTTAGACCTATATATTTTGTAAAGACCAACGACACTTGGTGGGTCGCCTTTACTTACTATGATCGCACACGGTACCCACTCAAGGCTGGTAATCAAGGTCATTTTTTAAAAACAAGCCCGGATGCCTCAGGACGCGAACCCACCACCTTGCGATCCGCAGCGGGCGTTTGGCCGCAAACGCCTCAGTGACTGACTTGTCAGAGCCCTGTGAGTACAGTCATGTGGCGGAGTAGACCATAAAGATGGTGTACCGTGTTCAGGGTACGCCCCAGAGCAAGTAGTAGTTAAAAAAAAAATCGGAAACGCACAGGAAAGGGAAATATGAGTGTGTGTAGTTCAACCCTGCCAGGGCCGTTCAACGAGCGACCAACACCCGGTATCAAAAAGAGCCATAATTCGGATGAGGATCACCTGGGCACAAGTCCCAGATACCCCGTTCAACCGTTAGGTTATAAAAGGGCCCCTGACTACAACCGGGGTGGGGCTTTAAACCTATGAAAAAATTGGGTCTTAACTAGAACGTGAATGATGTGTAGGGAAATTAGAAAAAAAACTTTAAATACAACGCAGGGAAGAGATTAGTGTGGGAAGCAAATTGAGAAAACCGCAGTAAGATGGCAAAAGATGACATTCTATGTTATACAATTGACTTCATTGTACACTAGGCAATCCTATGCTTTTTCCATCCTCCGATGCAGCAGTCTCCTCAATGTACTTCTGCTTGTTACCCGTATCGAGATCTTAGCACATCTGTCTGACACATTGGTGCTCCGTCCTCCAATGCAGCTGCCATCACAGTGTCTTCATGCTATCCCTCTCCAGTCGGAATTGATTGGTCAATCTTCTTTCTTTGCCACGCAGCCGGTTTCTGCATGCTCTCACTTAATACCTATTTCCAGTAAGTTGTTCATCGTCTCTGGAACGCAGAGCATTTAGGAATTCTGCGCAGCCCATGCTTCTTCCTACACTAACTATTGCATAAGAGTGTTTGCCGGATCTTTTATTTCCTCTTACCTGTCAGTGCAGAAAATGCAACTGATTTATAACCGCTGGATATTGTTGGGATGGTGAGTGCTAAGAAAAGACTTTCACTGAATATTAAGAAAACTGAAGCAATGGTTATATGAAAGAAGAAGATAACTCCACATTGTGATATCTCAATTGAAGGAAAAAGACTTAACCAAGTCAATAAATTAAAATATCTGGAAACTATCATAGCATCAGATGGAAAATGTGTGACAGAGATTAATAGCAGAATAGGTCAAAAGAAAGCTGCATTTCAGAAAATGAAAAATATTCTGTGCAATAAATCGCTCTCATTTAATGTCAGAAAGAGGGTTCTAAAATGTTACACAGAACCTGTTCTGCTGTGTGGCAGCGAATCTTGGAACGTCAGTGAACAAATTGGGAAGAATTTGGAAGCAACAGAGATGTGGTTTCTGAGACGAATGTTACGAATACCTTGGACGACCAGAGTAACTAACAACGATTGCTTGAAAGAAGCTAATGAAAGTAGATCTCTATATACAACAATAAGAAATAGACAAACACTGTTCTTTGGCAACATAATCAGAAGAGACATTAGAGAACATCGTGACAACTGGAACGATCAGTGGGAAAAGGGGCAGAGGCAGACCAAGAGAGAAGATACTGGATGGACTGAAATGATGGCATGGTGGAATATCATCAAGAGAGCTATTCCAGGCAACCAGCGATCGTGATCTGCGGAGACACATGAGCGCCTACGCCAGTTGGCAGGGCACATGATGATGATGACCTGGCAGTGTCCTAAACGGCACCTTTATGGGGTGCATAATTTGAGTTTGTTTCTGGCCTACGCTTTAACGGTTTTCATGTAACAGAAGAAAAAAGATAAAAAATAAGAAAGGAAGATGGAAGACGAAGAAAATACGACCACAGATTATCAATAACAAGAAAGACAAATCAGAAAGTTTTTCTTTCAGCCATTTTCCTAGAACGACTCCCCCTTCTAACTACGTCATCACTTTCTGCGCACTTGCTATCACTGATTGTTTGTATGCACAACAGAGATGAGAAATTGAACTTTACAAACAGTATATCAAAATATTAAACAATTAACACAACAATGGATGTATACAATTTTTATCTCTCAGCTTTCAGGTATATTATAAACGCTAGTCCGGAAGATAAATCAACCTGGTGCGACATTTTCAAATATATTCCATGTCTTCGGCATATGCTGTCTTGTACAGTTTGTGGAAACATTTTGTTGATTCCTCACAAATCGTCTCAAGATGCATGTTTACACAACGTTTGTCAGGGCTGTTTAGGCGGACGAATGAGGTTAAGGCCGTCGTGTAGTTGGTGCAAGGACCGCAGCAGATTCCATGAAAATAAAAAGTTACGTGTTTTGATTCTGTGTTTTCAGCGCCTGTGCGCTTATGTCTCACATTCCAGACTTGGTGAGGAAATATCGAAAGCGTCGATAAATGGATACGGCAGTGAAGCAGAAAGGACTATCAGAGTTTTGCAAGAGGTTGAACAGTTCTGTGATGATTATGTGTTCACACCGTCACCGATAGAATTTCCTCGCATTCGTAAGCCAACTGTAAGAGGGTTAAAATCATCAGTGTTTCGTAATCCAACGTCTGCTGTTCATTATGGGGCCAAAGAACAAAACACTGAGCCATATAAGAGGAAGCGAGGAAGGCCAAAGCGAGTTCCCACATTAAGTAAGAAACCTGCAAATGCCAGCATTGCTATTCATGCTAAAAAGTTAAAGAAGATGGCTTTAACATCTGCTAAAAAGAAGCCATTCGCTAAAACACTTCCTCACCAAAGGCGTTTGGAAAGAAAAAGGAAACCCTTACCAGACACAAGTGGCTACCTTATTTCTCAACGCCCACACAGAGACAAGTCAGGAAAATATAGTGTTGGTCAACTTTGGCGAGAAACCTTTCTAGAAGAGGTTCAACCAGAATCTTATCCCGACTCCGGAATTGAAGTTGGAAATTCTCCAGATCATGACCTGAATGTTCAACCTTCTCAGTTAGTAAAGCTTGTAAGTGAAAAATCAGATCATGTTAATAAGCCAGAGGTTAGCCGTAAAGAAACACGCCTACATAGACATACAGAAATTGAAAACAGAGATGCATCATTGAATGATGTGGCTAGTGCAGTTAATGAAATGCAGAAACCACGATTAACATTAACCATACTGAAGAAAAGATATCAGACTTTTCCTCGCAAAGGCCGATCTTTTAATCCTGCTACATCTGTATCATTAAAGGATACCGCTTTGAAAACAGGAAAGCAACCAGCTTTAAATTTAGATCATGCTAACCTGGCAGCTCATTTTAAAAAATGGACATCTAATTCTGTAAGGTCAGCAAAACAGCACCTGGAAATATGTAGATGTGCCCGGTTTAAACAGCCCAATCAGCTGACTTGTTTTGGTCAGAAATGTCCTTGCTATAGTGAACGCCGGGCTTGTGTTGATTGCTTATGTAATGGCTGTAAGAATCCGCTGAAGCCACCAGATTCTGCCCCAGCATTGACCCATGTGAAAGAAACAGACAGACTTGATCGTACTTTTGACAGAAGCATGCCCCGATTATCTCCAATTCCCCGATCCTAACTCATTTAATCCTTTAAATTTTGCAGCAGATGCTCAAGGCTGGAAGTAAAACACTATAAAAATCTGATTCCTTAGTTTTGAAGGGGCTAAATATAAATATTCAGTGGAAGTGACCACTGGAGAAGTGAAATTTCTTTAGTATGTTCTGACAAAATATAAAACTGAAGAGACCACATTATGGGATGCTTGAAGTGCAAGAGGAAGTGACATTAAAACAATATATGATGCTAAAACCAGTTTTACTAGCTTAAGCCTGGCCTTTACATTGGAACAGTTAAATAATGCAGTGGTTGAAAATTATTTTTCTAACGACATTTTGTTTTAATATAGTTCTTGAACATATACTGTCCTTGGAGAACAACATGTAGCTCTTCAACAGATATTGTCTTTAGAAAACAGCTTATACTGTCAGCATATAGTTCTTCAACGTATACTGTCTTTAGAAAACAGCTTATACTGTCAGCATATAGTTCTTCAACATATACTGTCTTTAGAAAACAGCTTATACTGTCAGCATATAGTTCTTCAACATATACTGTCTTTAGAAAACAGCTTATACTGTCAGCATATAGTTCTTCAACATATACTGTCTTCAGAAAACAACATGCAGCTCTTCAGCAGTCTGTCATCAGAGAACAGCAGGTAGTTCTTCAACATAGACTGTCTTTCGGAGAACAGCATTTAGTTTTTCAATGTATACTGAATGGGAACTCTTTATCCAGCGAAACTGCAATCTCCCACACTAGAGAGCCAATCACCATAAATGTACTACACTCCGGACATGCTACAGAAGGAAGGAAACTTGTTAGTTCATCCAGTTACAGCGACATGCTTTGTGACACAACAGCTTTTTCCTCTTCTTCTTTTTATTAATTTCCCTCCTCCTTCTCTTCCTTTTCTTTCTTCTTCTTCTTCTTTTTCTTCTTCTTCTTCTTCTTCTTCTTCTTCTTCTTCTTCTTCTTCTTCTTCTTCTTCTTCTTCTTCTTCTTCTTCTTCTTCTTCTTCTTTCTTCTTCTTCTTCTTCTTCTCTGCCTTGGATAATTTCTTCCCTTGATCTCTTTTTATTAAAGAGAATTGGCTCATAAACAGCATCCTGTCTTGAAAACTGATGTATTATAACAATGTTAAACATCGTAGTGGCCTGGAAAGAACGGTGATGAGAGTTACAAGACATTGAAGATGCATTAGCTAGAGAATTGTTTAGAGAAAGAGAGACTTTCAGGCATGCCGGGACTAGAGCAAAGTTCTGTAAATGACCTTCTGATTGATGAGGATGCTGATCTATTTTCTCCCCACCTTACCCTTTGTTTTCATCTCACAAGCCTCCAAGTTCTTTTCAGTCGTTTGTTGAAATACATGCTTCAGAGCTGTATGTGTTCTGGGCCAGATGTGTGCATGGTACATTTTTTATCATGATTTTGTCATAATGTTTACATGGTCAATATTAAAAGCAAAGGATCCTTTTTAGGCCAGTGGTGTGTCAAGCATATGATGCTAGATGCATATTGTTGTATGAATAAATCTGCACTTGGTGGATGATGGGGTCAGTGTCACACTGGCTGCCTTTACTTCCCAGAATGTTACCTGGTACTGATTTTATGCTAGGCCAATTTTTTATTTTATGTTTTAGTTCATCCATTTCAGATTCAAACCCAAGACCTTTGGCAGTGCATGAGAGTATCTAGTCACTAATCTACTGTGACTACCACATGTCAGTATATTTGTGGAATAAACATATTTTTAAGTATGACAGATATTAAATTCATTGCATTACTAAATACAGTTTAGAATCTCCTGAAAATGAACAGGTTTTGTTTACAGATTTATCCCTGTGTACGTTCCTGCGCTCAGTTTTGGAATGTAGATCAACAAATAGATTCTCTGCCCCCCTAACTAGCATGATAGATCCTCTTCCCCCCCCCCCCCTAACTAGCATGTTGTGGGAGGTGAATAATTAGGTGCTTTTCCTTTAAAGTCGGAGAGTGTTGGTTCGAGAGGAAAGGAAGAAACAGTCTGCATACAAATAAGCCAGATCTGTAAAACAGATATACATACAAAACTTAAGTTCTGGATCAAGACTATTGTCCAGAAGTGGAGGAACAACCAAAACTTTCCACTAGAGTTTACAGCCAGTGAACGCTATGAAGAAGAAGCTAGTTAGTTAGTCAACAGATTATCCTCATTGCGTATCAAACTATTCAATCCAAAGTGCTTGCATCCTCTCCAAGTAAATCCTGCAGGGTGTGGCGGCTGACAACACCACTTCTATGTTGGTTTCATATTTGTCTTTGGCTTCCTGCATAGTGCTCTTGTTTGTCGACACCCCATTTAATGGCTATGAAGAAGAAGAAGATACAATATTCTAGCACAAACAGAAATGAATTTCATTTTAATCTTTTGCATATAAATTTGAACAATATAAGTTTAAATCCTTGATAGCCAACCTTTTGTGTTATTTTAATGTGGTGTGGCTTAGGAGTTGTGAGTCTGACTCATAATTCCAGGGTACAGCGATCGAAACCCACTGCTGGCTACGTAGATTTTTATCATGATATGGGGCGGTGCAGGTCGACCTAGTCTAAACTGGGTACCAGGATTGCTGTCCTGGGAAAGTAAAGACAGCCGGCGTAATGCTGACCACATTACCCACCTAGTGGCGATGATCTGTAAAAATGTGGGTGCTCTTCCCATTTTCTCTTTGCGCCTAAGGCGTTAAAACTGATCTTTACTTGCTTCACTTATGTGGTGTACCACATCGTCTTGGAACCCTTCCTGCAGAGGGGCAGTTTAATATGTTCTGCTTTATCCTTGTTTACAAGCCAGCATATATCTTGACCGAAATCAAATTGTTAACTTGTTTTGTTTCATCAAACCAGTCCCGGTGAACACCAGCCTGCCTTTAACAGACATGAATATGCTTCTTATCAAATTACAAACACTTTGAACAAATATGAATGTGATGTTATAAAATGTATATTATAAACATTGAACATGAGTCTCATCAAATTAATATTACAAACACTGAACAGACAACAACAAAACTTGCTTATGGTTGCTTATCATTTTAACAGGAACAAGTTCATTATCACATGAATATTACAGACTGAACAGATGCAAAACATGATTCTTTATAAAAAGTGTACAATGGTACCTCAGAATTCGAACACAATCCGTTACGAAACAGCGTTCGAATTCCAAATTGTTTGAGTTCCAAGGCAATTTTTCCCATTAAAAATAATAAAAACTAAATTAATCTTCTTCTTTTTCTTCTTCTTCTTGTTTCGTTCACTTGAAATAGATTATCAATATCTGCAATGTTGTCTCTAGTATGAACTTCACTGTCGTTTGTAATTCACTCGGCCTGTATAGTTTGACTTGCACTGATGTTTCTCTTGGCCAAAAGTTTTGCCTTGATATATTGTATTCTAAATTAATCTGTTCTAGGGCCCAACAAACTCACATTTTAAATGTATTTTCCTAAATTCAGTTCACTAAAAATTGTGTGATACATGATGATCATATTTGAATACAAACATAAATAAATTGAAAAGATATGAAAACATTGTATTTACTGTACCTTGATCAAAATGGTGACATGGCAAATAGAAGCAGGAGGAGGAGGAAGGGAGATTTAGGGGGAGGAGGAAGGGAGATTTAGGGGGAGGAGGAAGGGAGATTTAGGGGGAGGAGGAAGGGAGATTTAGGGAGATGGTTGTTTGGAAGGTGATTCACCTTCCATGATAACATCAGGAATCTTTTCTGGTGTTTCACATCATAGGCGTTCACCACTTGTGCAAGGTTTGGGATCATTAGTTTTTGTAGATAGCTAGCACTCCAAAGTGCTCTGACTTTGGTGACCATTTGAAATTTTTCTAAAATATTCGATAATGTTAGTATTGAATAAGTTCTCCAGGGCATGCCGGTGTGTTGGGAAATGAAGAGGCAGATAGACTGGCCGGTTCTGCACCACTTGGTGGTGAACTGATGTATGACAAGCTGGATGTTGTGAGGGCCCTTTGGGAGCGAGTGAACAGTGCCAAGGCACAGATAGATCATTCCAGTCTGAGAAGAATGGCACTGCAAGGAGGTACAGGAGGATCTGGCCGATGTTTGACACTCAGGAGAAAGGTAATCAGAAAGTTACTAGTACCATCGGAATTTTAACGCTTCACTTGCTGCTGAAGATGGGTACGGAGCGCTTATGGGGGTGTCCTGAGTGCGGTGATGTCAATTCTTGATTCAACATTCAACATTTTGAATAAGTTATCACTCCTGTTAACTAGGGCTCTATCGGGGTGCTGCTCCCTTTCAGCAACATCTTGCATTTCTGACCACATGGTCAAAAGATCTTGGATTTCAGCAATGTTAATCCATCCAACTTCCCTCCTTCCTCTCCGAAAGAGATTTGTTCTGCAGTTTCTTCCTTCTGCTGTTGGTGAAGGTGCTGAAGCTTTTGTGTTGTCAGCTCAGTCGCCTGACCGGCAAATGCCAGATGTTTGGTTCCGAGGTGGTGTTCAAGTTCAGAGGCAAAATTTACTGGAAAATCTTGTTCGGATTACAAATTGTTTGAGTTTCGAGGCGTTCGAATTCTGAGGTACCACAGTATTAACCACATTGAACATGATGTTTATCAAATATATATTACTCACTTTTAACAGATACGAACATAATTCTCATCAAATAAATATTGCACATCTTGAAGAGATATAAACATGATTCTTATGAAATTGATGTTACACGCATTGAATTGATTTTCCTCAAATTTATATTACACTCCAACACATTGAATATTATTTTCATCAAATTTATATTACACACTTCTGTGAATATTATTCTCTCCACTTGTATATTTCAGTCCTTGAAAAGACATCACCATGATTCTAATCAAATTTATATTACAAATTTTGAATAGACATGAACAGGATTAAATCAGCTACTTCTTTGGAGTGGAGTTGTTGGTCACCTGAATGTTGGCTGAAGGTCTGGGGTTCCATGTGTCG